AAAAACTAATAGGACGGCATAGAGGGAAAATAGAGCTCAACCGCCAAAGCCGTAGAGAGTACGGCCCTGCCTCTTGAGAGCATAGACCACATCCATGGCGGTCACCGTCTTCCTCCTAGCGTGCTCGGTGTACGTGACGGCATCCCTGATGACATTCTCCAGAAATATCTTCAGGACTCCCCTCGTCTCCTCGTAAATCAGCCCGCTGATTCTCTTAACACCGCCTCTCCTAGCCAGGCGCCGGATCGCCGGCTTCGTGATTCCCTGGATGTTGTCCCGGAGCACCTTGCGGTGCCGCTTTGCTCCGCCCTTGCCCAGCCCCTTGCCTCCCTTGCCACGGCCGGACATCTTTGAAAAAACGAAGGAACGAGATTTGGATTGAGTTTTGAGTTGACTGAGATCTGTGAGCTGAGGAGAAATGGTTTGAGCTTGGAGGTGTGATATATAGATAGAAAAATGCGAGGGGAGATCTGAATTTTGGGGCTAATTCGAATTTTAGGGCCGATGATTTTAGCGGGTTAATTTTTTTGGGGGTGAAAATTGGCTTTCTATTTGCGATCTGGAAGGTTCAGTTGATCTGTTTTCTGATCGTAGATTTAATAGTTATCAACGGTTGTGAGATGGGTTGTATGATAAGAAGGATCGATGACGTGTAGATTGGTTTCTGAAAATTGGATTTGTGTGGGTTCTAATTACGGCTGTAAACGAGGCAACTCGAGCCGAGCTCGAGCTTAGGGTGTTTGAGCTCGAGCTCGAGCCATTAAAGAGCCGAGCCGAGCTCGGCTCGTTAAATAAATGAATCTAAAATCAAGCTCGAGCTCAGCTCATTAAGGCCTCGAGTTCGAGCTTTAACGAGCTGATCTCAAACTTTAACGAACCGAACTATATTATATATTATATATTATATATGTTATATACTATATGTTATATTATATATTATATATTATATATGTTATGTACTACTAGTACAGTACCCGTGCGATGCACGGGAGTTTATTATCTCCGTCCCTTTTAAAAAGCAAATCTCTCATACAGTTCAAACTAACAGAAACATCATGTCATTAATAATAAAAAGTTTAAGAAAATAAATAAAAAATAATCTATATATTATTGAACACTTTTCTTATATACAACGTTCATGGTTTGATTCGTTGACACATCATCATCGCCACAAATTAAGATTTTCAAACCATTTCTATTTGCAACACGGGAGACAACAACATACAACTGACCATGACTAAACACTGGTTTCTTAGGGGAAAAATAATTCATGAATAAACAACAAATACGTTAATATAATTTATACAAATATAACATATAAATAATTATATATTTGCAATTTGACAATCTTGGTTTGGCCATGGATAATGATCTTCCATTTTCCTATAGTCGATTTGTAGATGTCAATATTGCTTTCAACTTGATAGTTTGTCAAGACATACTTACCACATTTCTTCAATATCACCGACGAATTTTGGGATATTCACAGGTCGAATTATGCCAGTAATTCGTAATCTCTAAGACAATACATATTAAATTATTAAATAATTTAATAAGCACAATAAAATAACTTTAAATTTAAATTAAATACAGTATGAATGTGTGAACATATTACCTCCGAATCGTGAAAGATAATCTCTAGAAAATTCCGGTAATTGCGTACGTATTCAACTCGTTGGAACATCCTAATTATGTGTAGCTTGATTGGTGACTTATCGGATCTGTGGATATCCTGATGACTCTAAAATTCAAAGGCACGTTGAGATGATGTTGAAAAGCTTCGTAAAAAAAGTTGTAGTGCGGGATGTGTATGATGTAGAATATATGT